GTGTGTGTGTGTGTGTGTGTGTGTGTGTGTACCAATCTTCCTTTTGACTCTTTCCATCCATTTAACACTATAAACACACACAAACACCCACTATAGTTGTCACATGACTTCATTTATGTCCATCCCATCTGTCAGGAAAAGCTGACATCACACTGCTTATTTATGTGTGTGTGTATGTGCTCCTATTGTATCCCTCACTTATGACTGGATCACCACAACGACTGCAACAAGCACAAACTCCTTTCTCTTCCCTCTTTCATCTTCATCTTTTGACCGACTGACTCTCGCTGGGCTTTCATGTTTCTGTTCCTCTTTCTCCCTCCCGGTTGCTCATAGCACCACATGAATTACCCTTCAAGTGTGTCGCAGCTTTTAATTCAGCTTTTAATGAACAAAGGTCCTTTTAACATGGGGATTAAAGCAGCAGGGACCTTCAGGAAATCAAGCGTATTGCTTGCACTTCACTGCCACAGCAGCTTTTGTCAATTCAGGGTCTCGGATTTTCTAATTTGTAGCTTAAGTCATTGTTCAGAGTTTATGTGTGGAAATATGATGTGTATGTTGGGGGGGAACATGTTAACACTMATTATGAATGCCTATATTGGACCAAAATAATCTTGTTAACCAAAAATRAACCAAATAAACCAAAAAATCTTGTCCAAAATTGGACAAGAAGTCCAATTTTGGTTTTAGTGTTGCTCAAGCCAAAAAGAATGGTTTACATTTCAGTGTTTATAAAATCCACAAATCTAAATGTATCTGTATCTCTTTTATTTGACAGAAGAAAGGCAGACGGAGAGGGTGGAATATAACAATTCAAACACTTCGACAAATCTTCACTTACCCATAGCAGTCCAGGGAATTGTTATATTCCATCCTCTCCRTCTGTTTGCTTATTGGCTATCTTAGGTGATGTCACTATAGAGAAAAACACTTCTCACATGATTTCCACTGCCTCATGCATTGCAAAGAAAATCATACTCTTAAATTGGAAAAATAAAAATGATCTTAGCATTAATCAGTATAGAAATCTTCTGTTAGATCATTATAGTCTTGAAACAGCCTCTGCCACCACATCAGATAAATCTGTTTGGGCTCCTTTGGTTAGTTTCATTACATAGTGAGGGTGGGGGGTTTGGGATCGGACCTCTTGGGGCATTGAGACTGGTGGGGGGTGTATTGGGGTCTGGGGGGTTTGTGGGGTTCTTGGGGACTGGCCGCCGGGGGTTCCGGAGCTGGGGTGACGCTGCTCTCGCTCTGGGGAGGGCCTTGGTGATTCTGGGGGATGTCTTCTGGTGGCTGCATGTGGGCCCTCGGGTAGTTTATAGCGGCGGTCATGGGTCGCTGGTCCGGTTGCTTGGCCGTGCTGGGGCGGGTCCGGGGTGGGCGCGGGGGGCTTGGGACTCTGAGGGCGTGCCACCCCTGGGCTGTGGCTCTCGTGGGGCGTGGGGGCTTGGGCTCTGTCGGGCGGGTTGCCAGGCCCTGGGCCGGTGTGTGCCCTGGTGCCCGGCTCTGGGCTGGGGGCCTGTGGTGCGCTGGTAGTCTGCGGTTCTCATGGGCTGGGGCGGGGGTTGGCTGGGGGCGTGACATGGAGCTAGTGGGGTGGGGGTCGACAGTCTGGGAGGTGGGTCGGCTATGGGGCTGGGGTCGAGTTTTGGGGGTCTGGGTGGCTCTGGGAGGGTGGGGTGTTGGTCCCGGTTTCTGGTGGCCTTCGGGGCTCCGTCAGTCCATGGTCTGGGGTTCCGTGGGCTTGGCGGTCTGCCTGGAGGGAGAGGTAGTTGGGCTACTCTTCCTGGGTGGGTTTCAGGGAAATGGGGGGCTTAC